ACAACCGGATGGACGAATGCTGTTGAATAGGGGGAGGGAAAGGGAGGTAACCCGGAGGACAAATTGGTGAGGCCTGGAAGTGGTGGATGGACAAACAACCATGTATCTTGACAACTGCAAAGGTGAATGGGCAGCGAAGGGGATGGATGGGTCCACGCGAAGTAGATTGGCAATGCTTGAGTGACTGGAAAGGTAAAATCAAGGTTGTACCTGTGCATTTCCGGTTTTGTTTTAAATTGTGCAATGACATAAGTTTAAAAAAACATTCGGAAACTTCCACAGTTAAGTATCTGAATCGCACGGAGAATACTAGTTCGTCAAATTAGAAATTCTTCAACAATGTACTTGAATTCCTTGAAATCCTGTCGTTTATCCACTCAGGCTTACACAACCTACTGCATACTACTAACGAGGCGGGGGATTTAAGTAGTAAGTCCTGTCGGAAATGCTCCTTTTCTTTGGCAGCCCTTATTTCAAATAGCGTAACAGTGACCTCAATCCTTGCCTTCACTTACCTTCCACAGTTGATGAAGAGGTTTTAATTTTCCATCTCATTTGTCTTTGGACTGTGGATTGCAACCGAAACGAAATCGGAGCTTCATATTTTCTACTTAAAATGAGCGCTCAACAGGATTTTAATAAATAATCTTTTTAATTTTTAGTGGAACGAACAGGAAGAGAGCGAAATGAGGATGAACGTGGCAACTGAGAAACGAAAAGGCGATGAAAATTACGGTTTGTCCTTTTGGCTGACTTCCTTGTGCGCAAGCTATTTCCTGGGATAAGTTAATGCATGTAGAAAATGACATTTAAGTCAAGCAAATTACGTGAAGCAGCTCATTAAATAATACAAATTCTTGAAAGAAGTCTTCCTCGCAATTCGCTGAAACGGTTGGTCAGTCAGCTTTTTCAACTGACCAGACTCCGTAAAACTTTGGCGAAATACTTGTTAAGCATATGAATTGGAAACTTTATCCATAATAAGGGGGATAAGATCCCTTAAAAAAGTGCATTAAAATAAGTTTACTTAGAGAGTAAATAAAAAACTAACTGAGTTGAACCCAATCTTTGCGTTCACATTGGCTTTCAATGATGGTTCTGGTGATTCCTCGCAGGCTAACCTCACTTAACAACCTTACCAAGGACGTAGTGGCAATTTGTGAGACGGTCAATGCGCGTATCTTCGGTTCAAGGCATAGAGCAGCCCTATTTATCCGAAATTCTTTTGGCTGATCTGATTTCTGAAAGATAAAGGCTGGTACTTAACCTCCTTTGGATTCAGCTGTTTCCGAATCAGCAACCTGTGGGTGGATTAAGTTTTGTTAAAACTCGCAAAGTGGAGATTATGCAGAGAGACGGACGAAATTTTCCTTTCTTTTTAATACATGTTCTAAGGATGCTATCAGCGGATAACTTTTTTTCTTTCGAAAAAGGACCGAAATTTCAAGGTGATAGACAAGGTGCTCCGTGTACTCCTCCACTCGACACCGAAGTGTCATGCATCAGAGCATGGGGAAATGCAAAGGCGGCAACGCTTAGACGCCTGTTCCAGAGTTAATAGTCATTATTTCTTGGCAGCTTCGCCCCACTTATAGAGCACATGACATTCCCATGTTGGGGATCCGCATCCACACTCTGAGTACCCTACCGACGCGCACATACGCGTCTGTTTACAATACCCGGCTCAGGCAGTTCCTTTCCTCCTTCCTCTTTCGCTAACAAATAATTTTTTTACGCCTACAGGGGCACCCAGCTTACTTGTAGAGAGCGCTTACCCAAAATGGACATCGCATTCCTCTTCTCTTCGACGATATTGCGAGAGCAAAAGCTTTTTCTCTGCCTCGTGAATGCGAATGAACTCAGTTGAGGTCGCAATTAAAGGAGATAATGAAAGTAACCCTTTTAATTAAAAAAGGCACTTCGTTCATTGGATGAGCTAGCGCTTTAATTTATATACCTTGGCGGAGTGATGTACCCACTGCAGCCGCCTTCCTTGCATGGGGCTGCTGAAGGGGGTGGGTAAGGCTCTCCTCTTCGAAATCAGCATGGATGGCTCTTGTGCGTGTCTGTAAATACGACACAAATCATTGTCATTGTCCATTGTCTTTTGCTTTTAGTGGGTCCGAAAAATTCGGGTCTAATTCAAGTGTATGCAACAAGCCGCGTGGTAGTCAAGTTGGGATTTCTATGCAAAGCGAAAATCTATGCATGACATTATTTTGCCCCATAAAGTGTTCCGTACGATCTGTGTAGCAGTCGAAATACGGGAGGTTGAAATAATCGGCCCGTCGAAATTTGCTTTGTAAATCATTAGTTCAGCAACGGTTTACTTAAAACCGGAGGTTAGTCGGGGTCTGCGGTTATTTATGAACTTTTTGTAAATAATCTACAAAATTGTTTTTGACAATTCTATGCCATGCGATGGACGGCGTCAAGCTCAAAAACGGTGCCTATTTTTTGGCTTTGAAATACACAGGCATGCAGCAAGGGTGCCGAGTTGACGTCGGAAAAACTCCTATGAATACTTTAAATCATCAGCCTAACCCACGTAACAGGAGAATCTGCCTATTTTTTGCCTTACTTTGCTTTCAAAAAAACGAAGAAAATAAGAAGAGTTATTTAGGTGTTTGATTTAGATCCGATTCCAAAAAGCTCTTTTATTGAAACCGCTAAATTGCACACTTACGGGTCGAAATTGCTTTTTACTAAAGTGAAATGAACTTTTTTTAAACATTTCCAATTGAAACTGACTTTTTCTGATTACACGTCAATGTATACTACTGAAATTATAGAAGTAGCACTTTCCTGACACGCTTTTTGGTCTCGCTTATAGTTTCACTAGTTTATTGGAGGACTCTTTAAAATTTGTTGATCAGTCTCAAAATGCTTTCGTAACTCAGCGTACTGCCCCAAAGTACACCTGATCCTTTACATATGCACCAGTGGTTGAATACAAAGTCATTTCTTCATGTTTCCTCTTCAGTCCGTTTCAAACGAGGCGTTGATTTTGCCGCTTTCAAAAAATGAATAGATAAGTTAAATTCAGCGCGTATGGTTCTGATTACGTATCTCGCAATCCAACTATCGCAGACCTTCTTTGCTGGTGAATAAGGATAGGAATTTTGAACTAGATTTTATTTTATGCAAGAAATCGAAAAAACACCCTTTGTGCAAGGTTCGTTACCCAGACTGGGAGGATTCCTTGTTGTATTCCGCCCAGGTTAAGGCCAAGACATTTGAAAAAACATGAATATTTCACCTGTTTCTACCAAAAATGCATACATGCAGCACACTTTCCACCGCATCTTTTTATGTTTAAGTCTCTCCCCATCATTTAGTGAAACTATTTAATGATATACGATTAGCCCACTTTTCTTTGACAGAAGCTCATTTATTTCGTAGAAATGAGGTGGTATCAACTTGTTTCCCATCTGATTAATTCGGCTGTCCAATTCGCTGAGAGGTTTTAATCAGCTAGAAGTTTAGCATGAGTCGGTTCCTTTGAATTGGGTTCTTTTGTAGCTTCCCTCTGCCGCTATCAAGCACCCGAAACGTTCCGAAGGGATTAATGTTTCCGTCGGTAGTCGTTATATTGCCCACTTTTATCCTCCTCTACAATGCCTGTCCGTTTATGAAGTTATTTAAATACAGTGATGCACAAATATTCCCTTATTGCATGGATAAAATCCCAAATTTCTTGTCAATTTATGCATAAAAGGACTTTTCATCTTTATAAAACTTCGCACTAATTTATCCTTTTCTCCCCTAAGCATTCCACTGCGAGTTGTTTGCGATAAACTAGAAAGATAACCAACATTTTTCCATGAAGGTGGATGCAAATGCTAGCCACAATTTCGTTTTGGTCCCCCAAATTAGCTGTTACAAATTAAAAAGTTATCAGGAATAGAAGTTATTGTTTGACCTTTAGGCCATTTAATAGTGAAGTGGCGGTGAAGCACTGGGTGTATATTACAGAGTACAACAAAAATCACTTCCTTTTCCGTTTGATACGTTCTGCCAGTAAATTGTTCTTTTGTGTGATGCACAAGTCGAGGATGTGTCAATCATGTTGACAGTGGTTGGATCAATTCCTCATTTCCCCTCCTCCCCACTCCGCTTTTCAATTGGTCGGATTCCCTTCAGCCTGTCTTCGGTGAAAAGGTTAAATAGCTGTTATTCAAAAAAATGTTTGCTAGATGATGAGAAAGAAAAGCGCTTTTGCTGAGTTAAAAAAGGCGGGGAAAACAACCCTGTCAGCAGTCGCCTTCAACATTATCAACTGGGCTGCCAAAGGTAATGATTTGTGCAGAAGCCCCCGGAAGCGATTAGTGCACAGTAGAATTCCTCTGTTTTGTTTTACTTTGCTTCGCTTTACTCCGTTCCGCTCTTCCCCACTTACTTGATCGCCCATCCCCCTTGTCACGGTGTCTCCGCATCGGCCCTGCGTCATTTGAAAAGGTTTGGCACCATGGCCTGTAATGACATCCCAATTGCATCGTCCTCCTCTTTTGTCAGCAACAAAACACAGCCTGGACAATTTCACGGAGATTTTAGCGCCACTACAAGAGATTTCTCTGAAAATTAGACCACAAACAGTAATTAGCTTTTAAAATAACATTCGTAGTTCTACATTCATTGCCAATCAGGCGCCACCAAAAAGCATGTTTGTTTAATCGCAGAACCTCCTAATAAATTAATTTATTCGCCAATTTTTTTTGGTCATTTTTAAGTATATTTTTGCCATAGATGGTGAGAGGAAAAAAAGTATTTTGAAGTGAGGGTCTGTTTAAAGATATTCAAGGGTGATACAACGTGGAGGCGAAAAGTTACCTAACATTAGATATTTCAGTAGTACACCCCACAGCTAAAAAAATGTAAGATGCTTTTAAATCCGTGAATTCTTATTAACTCTAATCCTTCTATTTCACTAGTTTTGCCGATAATGGTCCGTAAAAGTGCCAAGTGATGACCTATTAGCTCGTTGGTTGGAATCCTTCTGTCACGGGTGTATGTAGGTGGAAGTCTTTTTCCCCCCAACAATTGGTCATTGCCCTTACGAGGCTGCTTGAGAGAAGCCTGCCTCAAAAGAGTGCCCCAACTTAAAGGTCGCATGGTCGGCTTTTAGTTGCTGTTAACGTTTTAACAGGACAAACCGGACTGTTTATGTCCATATCATTAATGTGGAGGCGAAATGGGAAACACATCACGTCCGCTTTGCAATTCCACCCCCTTGTTTGCTTTTAACTCGCAGGTTAATCTGCCTCCGCGTCTGGCTTGTTCCCTGTTTACCGTAAAACAGAGAGGAGTAATCTCTTCAAAGCCTGGATGTGCCGCCTCGTTTACATATCACGACAATGGTTTTACTTTAAATTGAAGCAGCGCCGGATTTGAGCGTCTACAACGGCAGCCTTAGGCTTGCTGTCTAGAGGCAGCTAAGGGAGTAATTCTGTGCTTCCTCATAAAGACTTACCAGACTGGAGGCATGGTTCCATGCTACCAGCCTGGTGGTGTTTGCCGCGAGAGGCCGGAAGGCTCGATTGGGTAAGCAGTTGCCCTTTCCTTGAAAGCAAATTCACCAAACATTATGCCACTTCCCAATTAAAAAATGAATGCCTCAGGAAAAAAATATTACAACAAACAGCCAAAAATTTGTCCACTACTTTTCCCATATTTGCGCAGTTAAAGCAGCCATATAGATGGGCAATGCTTTAATGAGAAAACTGGAATTATTAAATAGAGGTGAGGCATTTGCCACTGTACAAGCGCTTTTAACCACTTCTCCTACCCATTGTTATTTCAATGCAGAAATCTCCCTTTACTTAGTGGTGTTTTAACACGACAAAATTACTTTGTCGATTCGTAAAAAGCATTCAAATTAAATTTACCTAAAAAAACTGGAAGAAGAACACTTCTGAAAAAGGATGCATTAGTTTTCCGGAAGCCTTTGAAGAAACGGAAACACCTCAGAGGCAACTTTGACGTGGCCTGACCAAGCGCTTAAATCCTCCACATCTGTCGGTTGCCACATAGGGCAGCCTCAGGACTCACAGTTGGCTCTAAATAACCGCCTTAGTGATGCCATGAACTTTTCAGCAGTCTTTTTCCCCCTTCTTCATGACCTTACCTTTGGCCGGACTTCCGAGCGCTCCTCATCCACCAATACAGTACACCGTTGCTGCAGTTGAAATTGTTAACCCTATGGGGTAATTGAGCAAGAAGAAGTTAACCCCTATAATGAACTCTTCTGCCACAAACACACCTTATATTTAGTAAAGGTGACACATGGGTAGCCAACCTGTCAGATTGGTCGATTTGCCAGATAAAAGTACGTGATAAGCTATCCTCCGAGATGGTGACGATGACGACCGCAAATGGGCTACGGCTCTTCACACGTCTTAACTCCTATTTAATAAACTAGTGAAGTCGTTAATCTGTCCGATTTCTGCGATTGTCCTTCCTCAACTAGCCGATTTTTCTGACAGCTGAGCTCTCTGAAAGGAGTGGCTGTCTTCATACCCCTCTACTCCGCCCCGAATATATAATGCCTCCCGTGAATTATAAATTCCTATGCAACGCATGAATTATTTTAAGGTCGTGGCCACGGATAGAAGAGGGTGCCACTTGGGTCTGGATCTCGGAGTGGCAACTTGTCAACTCGTATTGTAAGGCATGCCGATTACTCGCAATGAGTTGGGAACGGCTCTTCCATTTTTGACCTCGCGAATATGGGTTAATATTTTGAAATTTTAAACCAAAAACCTTTTTTTTGCAGTCATTAAGTCTTTCAAAAGGCTTAAAATAACTTAGTTAAAAGGAGAGTTTCTTTTCAATTCGAAATCGTATTCACAATCCCCCTCTGCAGAATCCGATAAAACGAGTTCTCGTCTTTCCCATTGAAGGATGGTGGAGAACAGGCGGTTTTGTCATCACAAATGGCCATTTGGTTGGTGAGGTTGGGAAGCCTTAATCACGAGACAAACATCCAGATGGTGTCCGTGCGTCAGTTCCGCACAAAATTTAAAGGTTTACATATATCTAGCCTTATAGGGCATAAAATTCAGATGTATTAATTATTTACGGATCTAAAATAATGTTTTAACTCCAGACCAACCCTCCTCCAATGCAGCCCTGCATCGATTTCAAAGGGCGGCCGCTTTGGTATGCAAGAATGAACACTTGGTAGTGAACCACGACCACGAATCAATTGAGACACCGTGCGTTTTTCGACGTCTGCCCTCCTGGTATGCTCGAATGGCTTCTGCAGAAGCTGACGTCTCTGATTCCACCTTCAAATCGCCCATGGGGCGACATAGCTTTCGGGTATGTTAGCAGGTTTATCAGTAGCATGTTCATACGTCGTGTAAGCATGCGTTCCTCGAAATTTGCAGGCGGAGTCACACGGATTCCACCCTCCTAAACAACATAGACCATCGACAAATTAAGAGTTTGCATTGTACTGGCTAGAAGCTTAGGAAACTGCTCAATTTAAATGGCAGGCGGATATTTGGTGTAGAAATATCTACAACAACTTCGGCACATTTCAGAAGTCCGTGCCTAATCTGCAGCGCTCGAAGTACCACTGTAATAAGGACGTGTTGGGGTAGGCAAGACACTGGTAGCGTAGATGACCAGACCAACGCCCTGCCCGCCACCGTCGGGGTGAAGGGGCGGGATGGGGTAGACTGAGTCAGACGACTGGTCAAGTAAACATACTTAGCGTTGTTAGCAGAACAATTGTAATTGCCTTTCAAGTAAACGTCTGACAACTAGCACAAAGCCTTGTATGAATTTTTGTCAACTAAATAATGTCCAAGTAGCGATTAAAAAAGGATCTGTTTTCTTTGATAGGAAAATAAGGTGTGATGATCAGAAACCTTTAAATCGCCTTTCTTAAAACCTAAAATGAAATCACCGTCAAAAATGGCGTTGGGGATGTTAAATAGCATGCACTTTATTGATAATATTTCAATTTAGGATAAAAAAATTCCTACTTTTATGTATGTACACTTTTTATGGTATGCTTTGGAGTTAAGGTAACACTTCCAAAGTGCCTTTAGCCTCTTTTGCTAAAGTGACTGAGGGGCGTAAAAGTGGAGCCTTTGAGTTTTTCACCTCATAAAGTACTTTAGTGTGTATGTGCAAGGAGAGGGCAATGAATTTCACTGACTTTATAATGAGGCGAAATGCTTGTTTGCACTTTGCTGGAGGCTGTTTGTGCTCCTCAAGTCACTAGGAGCAGTTGCTTCTCCGAAAATGGCTGCATAATTAATTAATACGCTCATATTCGCCTCATCTTCTTCCTTCCTTGAAAAATATGCTGTAATTCTCAACCCATTGCGATAATGCACGGATTTATAAATCGAAGAGCGAGTGAATAATGGAAAAGTCAACCTTTCTCATCTCAATACCTCGAATCCTTCTACCACTGCACAGTTTCAAATGCTGGAAGTTTTGATAGGAAAGAAAGATAAAAGCACTTGCATTGTTCAACAGAGCTTTTGTTGGGTTACACTGAAGACACTTCAGATAAGCCAATGATAATAAGTTTGATGATAACAATGCTGCGAATGATGAGCTGGAAGCGAGTAATTGCCTCGCACTTATGGCCTAAGTCGGGGCTTGAGCCAATTTACATAACTACAGGCCATTGAAATATCTGCTTGCCCTCTCCCTCCCCCCCTACCTTAACTAAGTGTGAACAGTGGGGGAAGAGCCGTTGCCGTTGTCGTCGTCATCGTCGTCGGTAGGGCGTTTGAGGCGAGAAACCCCACTTTCCCAGCCTCCGCGTGCATCAAGTGCGTGCGTACCACCACCGCGCGCCTATTGGTTGAGCGTGAGTGGGGAAAATCGATACGTTCGCGTCCGCACCGCGTATAAAAAGGACCAGGCCTTGGTCACTGGCGTAGCTTAGCTAGGGGAAGCAAGGAGAGACGAGGCGAGAGAAGGAGTCAAGACTACGCCAGGCGAGGGGAAGCACGTAGCGGCGGTGTTGGCGCTGCCCTCCAGAGGAATAATTTATTCACCGAAAAAATAGCGAGGGAGTGGAATTACGCAGTGCTGCCTGTGGGCGGCCACCAGACGGTGACAGTCAGCCGTCAGCGAAAGTTGTACGAAATTGCCTATCGTCTCTTCGGCTGTTGTGCTTGCTGCTGTAGTGGTCTCAGTAGAGTGCGGCGGCGCAGAAGGAGGAGGGACAGTAGGAGTGAGCAGTCGGCATACTTGGGGATGCAGCAGATGCGAACAACAAGCGACTTGGAGGTGGCAAGGATTATGGAGCGTCGACCACAGCCACATGTCTACCGAAACCATCTTCCCTCGCCCCTGCCACCTCCAGTGTCACCACCTGTAGCATCTACTGCGAAAGGGGAGGGCTGTCATCTGACTATACGGAATCCTTACTTCATGACGGCGGCCAGCCATCCCGGTTGTTCTTGCCCTTACCTGAAGAATGAAAACCACTGGCACAGTCTGGAGCAATGTAGCTGTCCCCATGAAGATCTTCATGCTCATTTTGAAACGAAGAACATTGAGAATATCGTCGCAATGCTACCGAGCCGAGAGACAGATATCCTTGACGATCTGGTGGATAGTTCATCCAGTTCTGAGGCGAGTGATGTCTCGGAAGTGTCGCCAAGGCATATTGTAACGTTGCACAGGGCCTCGGCACTTCCCAATAAATTTACCAGTCAAAGACAAATTTCTGACGAGGATGAACCGATAAGCACGCTAATTTCGAAGAGTGGATGGTTGGGTGATTTTGAGGAGCAAAAAAAGTCATTGCAACTAATTTCTACCTCCACTGCAAATGGAGCTATGAATCGGTTGAGACCATCGGAGGAGGCTTTTCATCGACGAATTTCGGAAGGCCCTGTAAAAGTGGAAAAACCTGTTGATGGAACTAATTTTTTGACCACCTTTCCGCAAACTGAGTCGGAGCCGTGTTTTAAAGTGGGAAGAAAGGAGTATGTTGTTAATGACGAAAAATGTGCTGGTAACATGGGATCCCTCACCGAGTCAAGAGCATCCAGTGTAACCACAGAGAAGATGGGTGGGAAGGAGAGGAATAGGGAGGAAGAGTCAATACAATCTGGCACGTCTTCTGTTGGTGACTCTGGGAAAGTTGAGATTGAAAAAGAGAATAGAGGGGAGGAGGAGGAGGAGGAGGAAGAAGAAGAAGATGACGATGAGGGCGAGGAAGAGGAAGAAGAGGAAGATGAGATGACTCCCGACGAAGCTTTTAACCTAGCTACCGCAGACTCTTCCAGTGAGGACTTTTTACAAACTGGAGCGTTGGTCGTCGAAGAAGACACACCTCCTCCACCTCCTCCTTCCGCTTCACCTCCTTCGTTGGTCATATCGCCTGCACACACCTCGACCTCCCCACAAGCGTCCATGGCGAAGAAAGAGGATGAGGAGGGGGAGGAGGAGTCAAAGGGTCAGGTGAAAGCAAAAGACGAAGCGGCTGAGGGAAGTGGGAGTCAGAGTCCACCTCCGCAAATAGATCGTCACATGCGTGCGAGGTGGCGATGGGCTTTGCTTAGTCAGAATAGAGACCTCGTGTTTTCTCAGGTACAACTCGCCTGCTCTGCACAGCGCAATTTGGCCTGTCATTTAATATGCCCCCTCTCTCATGCCTTTTCTGTCTAGTGGTTGCGATTTAGTCTAGTGCGGTGTCAATGCGAGGTAGCAGTTGATTATGACAGAAAAGTTCATAGATAAAGTGATGTAAAGTGGAGGCTCGACTCTCACAAGTCGGTAATTTGATGTGTTTACTGGCACATGTGTAATGTTTCCCCTTTTTCATTCATTGTCAGCGTTGATTAACAGAATGTTTTGTTGTATTGCACCGATTTCTTAGGACAACTCGGATGAAAAATCGCAAACATTTAACCGGTGAGTGAATGGCAGTGGGGAGCAGTGCCTGTTGTTCTATGCTTTTGAATAATGCATGCACTTCTCGTTTTCTTTCTTTCTATCGCCAGTGCTGCCAAAAGTTTTTATCAGTCGATTGACAGCGCGCCAGAACGGCGCTGGAGCAAGCGAACCCTACCACTTGTCAGTGATTTGGTGAGTGCTCTCATTGCTGTTAGTGTACGCCTTGTTTCGGTGCCTTCTGTGGCTCCGTTGGAAGGAAGGCGTGGGGGAGTTGAGAGAAAGTTTCCTGACTAGTCTGCGTCTTTTGGACTCAAAGACACGTCATCGACACGTGCCTTGCCACTGTAGCTGAATACTTACAAGGCCATAAGGCTATCAGTTGGTCGCAGCGAGAAATGAAGGTTGGGGTCCATTTGCTTCAAGTTGAAATAGAGGAGGACTTAGAGAAGGCCATTGAGCAAAGAAGTGACGGGGCGATGTTGGCGAACAATTGCATTCATCTTCCCTTCTTTACCTTACCACTCATTCTCCATTCCTCCTTTTTTAGGTGCTTCAAGTAAGTCCTACTTCGTATATTTATTGCTTACTTCAAAATGTTGCGTTAACTTGTTTATTTACACAAAGATTATTTCTTAGACCATGTCTGCTCAAAAAAGAACGGCCAGTGTTCTACCTGCCAGCATTGGACAAAGCACCACCTTGAGTGGAGCCGATCTTGTGAGTAGTGGATTGATCCTCCACAGTCGCGTGTTCGTTGTGATCTCTTCCTCCATTCCCTGTTTCACGCAGTTTGCAAACTCCAAAGCCTCACATTTTCACGCCACACTTCCAAATTAGTGTAGAGCAGATGACAAATCAGGTGAAAGAATGATTCCGATTTTGCCTTGTAGAAGCTGTTGGTTTACCGAAAGACACTGAACGCTTTGGCGTATCCGATCTCGGGGAATACACCGCATAACTTCGAGGTATTCAACGCCACCAGTCCGACTTACTGCTACGAGTGTGAGGGTTTGTTGTGGGGTGTGGCGAGGCAAGGTCTACGATGCTCTGAATGTGGTGTGAAGTGTCACGAGAAGTGCAAACGCCTGCTCAATGCTGACTGTCTGCAGCGTAAGCCCACCTCACTCTCCCCTTTCAATTCTTTTTGTCAAGTTAATCCACTTTTGCATGAGTATTTGGCCCTATGGAATTGATTTCTACAGACAGTGGGTTTAAAATCAGCGTTTTGGTTGTTGAAATAAAAGGCTCCGCCGAGAAGTCGTCACGACATGGCGCAGAGGATAAGGCGCAAGCGGCGATGAATTCGATGCGATCACTGATCCATCGACGCCTAGCAGATCGGCCGGACATATTTCGAGCGATTTTCGACATCTTTGCCATCGACCCAGTCGAGGGCAGGGCACGGGCGGAGCGTCTGGCAGAAGTGGAGCGGAGCATTCTCTCCGGCGCCAGTCAGTGGTCCGCCAAACTTGCAATCACCGGTAACCTACCTGGATTGCCTTGAGTAATGCGATGGCGCGCATCAAATACTGCGTTTGGGTGGTTTTTAGAGGAGTTTGGCCTTATAGAATACTTAAATTGCCAGTGTTGTAGAAGTTCATGCATAGGAAATCGCGTCGTTAGATGTACAGGATGGATGATGAGGCTCCTACTTAGGTTGGAACCGGTAACTTGCATGCGTCAAACTGTTCAGGTAGTCCGCCAAACCATCTCCGACCGCTGCAAGTAAGAGTAAACACACAAGCCGATCCAAACTCTGAGTGGATGAGGCAGGCAATCAAAACAAATACTTTTATTTTCATTAATTGTGTTCGAATGAGTTGCTTATTTTTACTGCCTTTGAATTACTCCCATGATCAGAGCCAGCTGGCTATTAATCCCTGTTGGCATATGCATGAAAGAGAATGGAATTTGTAGCAAATTGTTGTCCTTACCTGCAACATCTACTACACTAGTGAAGTCCGCGCAAGGTCTGATCGGAAAGGACAAAAGTGGTCGCAGTGATCCCTACGTGACAGTTCAGGTCGGCAAAGTCAGGCGCCGGACGAAGACAGTGCCTCAGGAGCTCAATCCCACGTGGGATGAAAAGTTCTGGTTGTGAGTCCTCCCGCCTTTTGTTGGTCATTATCAATGCTCCTCGGAAAAAGTGTTCAGTTTTTAAGCGGCACCCGACTCACCCGCTTTGCGGGTGGAACACTTTCCTCAGTCAGGCGGTCGGGCAACTATCGAGCAGTTGTAAATCGCTCATTAACCCCTCTCGTTGCCTAATTCCCTAAGATCGTGCATATTCTAATGAATTCCAAAATGCCTTTTTACTGGCTCACAAAGTGAGAAACAAAGTTGTGAGAGGTGTGTTAGACGAGTGATATAATGTTTAAAAGTTTTCTTAACATTTCAGCGAATGCCATAATGCTTCCGATCGCATCAAGGTTCGGATATGGTAGGAATTCTTTTCAACATATTCAAATAAACCAATTTGTGCTGCATTTAGCAACTAAATTAACAGTTTGAGTCTCATTTGCATTCTTCACACAGAATCGTTGCCTTAAATAGCCATGTTTTGCCATTTCCAAATTATGTTTCTTAGTAGAAGCTTCATACTGCATCTAGATTGAAGGCAGAGAAAGCGCATTTGGCCATTAGTGTGTGTATATAGTAATGTTTTGAATTTAGTGCTCTGTTTGTGTAAATTGGGTGGTCGCAACATTTTTTGTATCTACTTATTATCTCATTTAAGTAGGAGTGCAAAATGCGTTGTAGGGATGAGGACAACGACTTGAAATCGAAGATTCGACAAAAGTTTACCCGCGAATCAGACGATTTTTTGGGACAAGCGATAATTGAAGTGCGGACATTGGGTGGTGAAATGGATTTGTGGTACAACCTCGGTAAGTCTGTTCGCAAAGCGCCTAATCCCTAACAGTAGCCTGTTTTCATGGAAAAAGTCAGTGCTGTAGTCAAGTGCTGGCAGGTAGTCACAGGAGTGATGGATTGAGCATGTGACATCAACTAAATGTATAAATAAAGTACAGCAAACTGAGGACTTTTGGCGCTATCAACTTTTCATGATGTATTACAGAAAAGCGGACAGACAAATCTGCAGTTTCCGGTGCCATCCGTTTGAATATCTCCATCGAAATCAAAGGTGAAGAAAACTCAGCCCCCTATCATATTCAATACACGTGTCTTCATGAAGTGAGTCTGGCTGCTCTTGACTTCGAGCCTCGCTAACCGGGAGGGAGGGGAATGAAGGGACATAAAATGCATCCATTAAAAGTGCAGCCTCATTGCCTGGAAGCACGATGCCTATGCACTGTCAAAACAATGGGGCAAATTTTCTAATCAGGCCTATTGCCTGCGTAACTACGAAACTGGCAAAGATGGAGATTTGTAGGTGTCTAAGGGATGATTAATTTCTGCATATCATGTCGAAAGTAGTGGTATCGTAGGACTCAACGCTGTTTTGCATTCTCTTGTGACAGTGTATATTTAACTACCTTTGTGCGAAAAATCCACCAGTCTACTTGCCCAGTCAGGCACCCAAACGGAAATCCGTAAC